CCCCACCCCCCGCCAGGGCTGCACATCCTCGTCCAAGGGGCTACATGCGGCCCTGGGCGCCTAGGTTTATGCCTGCTCCAGAGCTTCCTCCTGAGGGCAGGTCTCTGCCTCCTATTTTTAGGGCAAGAGCTCCACCCCTCAGTAGAGGGAGATGTGGAGAGAACTGGAATGTCCTTTTATTTCCCTTGAGGCAGAGCCCAAGCTGCCTATCGCACTCGAAGGTTCCAACGGCAATTCCCTTTTCCTTAGGTTCACTGCAGAACTGACGCTCACTCGAGTGAAAATGCCCCAAAGTTAGCCCAAGAAAAGGGAGGTCATATGGGGGGGAGGGCCATGCATAAAACTGCTGTAATGTCAGTCGGCATCTAACACACTAGCGTGCAGGCTCCAGTGTAGGGTGTGGGAAGGCCAGAGCCCCCGTTCTCCGAGGGAAGAAGGGACTCCATCCCTCTCTGTTTGGTCTGTAGTATGGAAGCCGGCAGGACTTTCTCTGGCGCCTGGCCCGGGCCTACAGCGACATGTGTGAGCTCGCGGAGGAGGTGAGCGAGAAGAAGTCATATGCTCAAAATGGAAAAGAAGAAGCAGTTCCTGGTGGGAAGGTGACTGACGGTGGGGTGGAGCCAGCCCACCTGCCTGGGGTCCAGAGGAACCACCAAGATGCAGGCTGTCAGTTACTCACTAGGAACAAACTCGGGCTCCCAGGATCCCCTGCTTCCTGACACAGAGAACAGTGCTCTTCTGCACATCGCTGTGATCTGAGCATATCACCAGTGCATGTTTTGAGGAGTACTAGTATCCTTTCAGCCCAATTCTTTTTCTCCCCAAACACAAAGGAGGGCAGAATCTTCTTTCTTAATCTGAAGAGGTTTTTTGCTGCGATTTAGGAATCTGGTTTCAGTTATGGAGTGTGAGGCAGTTCTAAGAATATGAGTGGAGTATATTTGGTGAGCACCTGTGAGTAGCAGTTTGGGAGAATACTGCCAGGTTAGAAGTCCCTGGCATCTATTTAGCAAATCTATTGCCAAATCTGTGCTCTGGGGTGTATGTGGCTCAGGGTTCGTCCCTCTCTATCACTGAGAATCCTGGGACTTTAAAAAAGCGACTGGCCCAGCACTAGCTGGTTTGGGTCAGTGGTTAGAGTCGACCTGTGGACCGGAAGGTCCTGGTTTTGATTCCGGTCAAGGGCATGTTGCCTTGGTTGCAGGTTTGACCCCTGGAGGCAACCAATTGATGTCTTCTTTCTCTATCTTTCCCCTTCCCTTTCACTCTCTAAAAATAATGGGGAAAAAATAACCTCGGTTGAGGATTAACAACAATAAAAAAAAGCAACAGGCCCAACCAGAGTGGCTCAGTTGGTTGGAGTGTTGTCCCATGCACTAAGAGGTTGTTGGTTCGATTCCCACTGAGGGCACATGCCTGGGTTGTGGCTTCGATTCCTGGTCGGTCGGGGCATGTACAGAAGGCAGCCGATTGGTGTTTCTCTCCCTCTCTCTCTCTCCCCCTCCCTCTCAAAAAGCGACTGGTTTCATAGGGATGGTGATGTGTCCAGCCTCTGTACACACCTGAGTCATGCACCATCAGTGGGCTTCCAGGTCTTGTGGTTCAGTTAGTTATCAAAAATTCATGCACCCAGGGGGTCCCTGAGCCAGCCTGCGTCCTCTTGCAGTCTGGTATCCCTCGGGGGATGTCCACCTGCCAGCTTAGGCCCGCTCCCTGGGGGATTGGGCCTAAGCTGGCAGTCAGATATCCCTCTGGCAGCCTGGGAGCCCTTGGGGGATGTCCAACTGGGGCTTAGGCCCGCCCCCCTGCAGCTGCCTCTGCAGAAGTGGGGGGGGGGGTGGCACGCCAGGACCACCATGGCTTGCTGGCCCTGCCCCTTGCCCACTGGTCTAATTAGCATATTAGCTCTTTATTATGTAGGATGGATTTGTCTACTTTCCGACTTATAAATACAGCCTTGCAAATGTTATTAAATCTTTGATAATGTAGAATCTGATAATACCCCAAGTGTTCTAAACATTTGTTTAGGAAGTTGATATAAAAAGAACAGGCCATGCTGAAACCGGTTTGGCTCAGTGGATAGAGCGTCGGCCTGCGGACTGAAGGGTCCCGGGTTCGATTCCGGTCAAGGGCATGTACCTGGGTTGCGGGCACATCCCCAGTAGAAGATGCGCAGGAGGCAGCTGATCGATGTTTCTCTCTCATCGATGAGGCCAGCCCTGGCCAGTGTTGCTCAATGGCTGGAACATCAGCCCTCACCCCGAGGAGTCACGGTTCCATCCCAGGCCCCAGTTGGGGTGCATGCGGAAGGCAGCCTGTTGATGTGTCTCTCTCACATCAATGTTTCTTTCTCACTCTCTGCCCCCCTCCCTCTCTCCCTTCCACTCTAGAAATCAATGGAAAAAAATATCCTCGGGTAAGGTTAACAAATAAACAAAAACAGCCCAATTGAATCAATTGTTCATTGTTATACACCTTCAGAAAAATCCCTGGGAATTTTAACAAAAGGTGCTTAATTATTGTTTGCTTCTTTATTTAAAAAATGTCCTGCTGCCCTAACTGGTTTTGCTCAGTGGATAGAGCAGGGGTCCTCAAACTTTCTAAACAGGGGGCCAGTTCACTGTCCCTCAGACCGTTGGAGGGCCAGACTATAGTTTAAAAAAAACGATGAACAAATTCCTATGCACACTGCACATATCTTATTTTGAAGTAAAAAAACAAAACGGGAACAAATACAATATTTGTATTTGCATGTGGCCCGCGGGCCGTAGTTTGAGGACCCCTGGGATAGAGTGTCGGCCTGCGGACTGAAGGGTCCCAGGTTCGATTCTAGTCAAGGGCATGTACCTTGGTTGCCGGCACATCCCCAGCAGGAGGTGTGGAGGAGGCAGCTGATCGATGTTTCTCCCTCTCCCTTCCTCTCTGTAAAAAATCAATAAAATATATATTTTTTAAAATGTCCTGCTTTCCCATCTAAATTTTAGGTGAGGATTCTGATCAGCGTTTGATATCAACAAGAACCTTTCCTTCCCTTTGGTCATTGTTTAGCTCTTAGTAGGAGCACCCACACCAGCACCGGCCTGGTTTCCTGAGGTTAGCATCCTGGACAAGTCTGCTCCTGCTGGAGGTCAGATGGCTATGTAGCATCTTGGAAGGCCCTGCCCTGGGACTCCAGCTTTTTAGGGCCATCCTTGCTGGGTCTAAAGTTCTTCATTTTGTTCTGTCTCTAGAAGCTGGGCCACCAGGAGGCAGCCATTCGTTGGGTTCTCAGGCAATATTGTTCACCCCTATGTCTAACCTGGCAGGAACTAGTTCTCATTTTTCACTATTTCCTAGGGAGACAGTGCTTTGAAGGGGGCAGAGAGAAATCCCTCAAGAGACAATGTCCCTCATTGGTGGGGGCACTGTTCTTCTGTTTGGAAAGGGATAAGCTACCTTAAAATTGTATTTGTTGCATATCCAACATACCATCATTACTGTCACTTAAGGAGGAAGAAACATTTCAGATCGCCAGCCTACCACCTCAACCACTACTTTAGTTTACTTTCTCCATGTTCCCTTCCAAGCCCTCTCCATTTTAATCAAAGAAGTCCCCTTTTGCAGGGTGCTACTTTCTCCACTGTGTAGGCATGATGTTCCTCATCTGAGGCTCTAGACTTCTTGTCACTTGAGGGGACCCTTGTGACAATTAGACCTCAATTTCTTTGTTAGTCTTGTGCCTAGGAAACTTACGACTAAAAAAGTGAAAGTCGCCTCTGGTCATACGTCAGTCCATTTGGGTTTGGTGAATTTTGGCCTAGAGCTGTGATTCATGTTTTTGGATCATGGATCCTTTTGAGAATTTTATTAAAGCTGTGGACCTTCTCCTCAATAAAATGCACAGATACCTAAAATTTTATACAACTTCAGAGAGATTCATGGATGCCCTGAAGCCTATTACAGACCCCAAATAAAAACCCTCCAGGCTCAGGTTTGTCTGGCAGTTTCAGATTGACTTTGGGTCCTTTTATATTTGAAGTGCTGCAAGCACATCAGTGGGAATTGTAAAAACAAGTTTGCTGGGACAGCTGACGACAGAAATCAGGAAGGTGAGGTGAAGTGGAAGTCATCCCTGAAAAGCTACTTGCAGCTTTTCATTCTGTTCAAGTTCACAACTATTTCTGAGCAAGTCGAGGCCGGATAGGCATTGCTGAGAGCTGGAGCAGCCTTCCGTCCTGAAGCCCCACCTTGGGCAGTGTGCATGGGAACCCTCATCTACTCTGGATCCTCTGTCCTACAGGAAAAGAAGAAGCGGAGGCCGCTCTGGAGAAGGGGGATGAGAGTGCTGACTGCCACCAATGGTAATAACACCCTGCAGGGTCCCATGAGGAGCCAGCATGGGTTAGAGAGGAGCGGAGGGGGCGGAGCTGTTGTCTCTGTCCTGGCCACAAAGGCATTTGCTAAAAGAACCAGAAGAGGGAGCTCTGGCCTGTACTTCCATCTGCCCCACACTACCCCCAGCTGGGGGCCCAGGGAATTTTTCTTTGGCAGGTGCCTTCAGGATGAGGCAGGGGAGAGTACATCATCACCCCCCCCCCACACACACACACAACCCCCTTAGGGCTTGGAGAATTGAGCAGCTTTGTAAGTAACCCTGGTTATAAGACTTGTGGGTTCTGGGCTCCCCATGGAGGCTGGGACAATTTGCAGCTCCATCTCCTGCACAACCTCCTCTTTCCCCTAGCTGCTATCCCTCGCTGGTGGTGGGCTTTCGCTTCTTTGCTTGGCTCGCATGAGGAAAAGTGGATGTGAGTTTACCTCCAGAAGTTCAGTAGTCAGTATTTAGATCTCAAATATAGCCCTGTTTGTGGTCTCATGTGAGGCAAAGTTCCACCAACTTGTGTCCTGGGGCCTGGTTCCAGCACCTCTGAGTATTAATGAAAATGTTCCTTTCCTACCTCCCCTCTTGCTTTCTGTAGCTCTGTCAGACTGTGAGCTGAGAGAAGCTGTTTCTCTACCTGTAGCTGAGGTAAAGTTTCAGCTTTATCTCAGAGGCCAGGTCATCACTGTTTCTAGGGGGTCATGGGTGCTGATTCCCTGTGGCTCCTGGACTCCCAAGAATGGAAATTGGCTTCATGTTTTCCTAACTATCTTGGGGAACAGCTGTTTGGACTAAACATGGAAATAAGCCTCTGGAAATGTCTGATATTTAGTGAATATATGAAAAAGCAACTTGGGCCTTTAGACACTCATTTAATGTCAACTGTGCTCTGGAAACAATGCTGGAGAAATGGGGTAATGAGACCTTTGTTTTTGAAGACAGAAGATGGAAAGCTGGCTGGCTTTGCTCCCTGGGAGAATGTGAAGGCTGAAATCAGAGGCATTTTCTTCCTCTGCTTCTGTTGGTTTCCAAGTTAACATCAGGAATTCCTAGAGCACCTCACCCAAGTCTGATGGTCCTAGAGCAGTTTACTGATGGTAACCTGTGTACTTCCAAGGCATGAGACCTTAGGGCAGGGGTCCTCAAACTTAAACAGGGGGCCAGTTCACTGTCCCTCAGACCGTTGGAGGGCCGGACTATAGTTTAAAAAAAAACTATGAACAAATTCCTATGCACACTGCACATATCTTATTTTGAAGTAAAAAAACAAAACGGGAACAAATACAATATTTGTATTTGCATGTGGCCCGCGGGCCGTAGTTTGAGGACCCCTGCCTTAGGGTCTGCAGGAGATACAAAGGAATGTACACTCAGGTCTAGTATCTTTGATGCTGATGAGTAGATAACTGCTTTTTAAGTTTTTATAATACCTATGGCTGTACTCATGATGAGGGGAAATTTGTTGGAGATTTGAACCAAGACCTTGCCTAAATATTAAGTATAAGAGACCCAGCCTTTTTGTACTTAGTATGTATACTTTGGAGAGCCTACCATTGTGTTTACGAAAGAATATGAATTGGGACCACAGGTCTATGAAGCGGAACTACATACAGACAGAAATGAGTTTCTGCTCTAGTGGAGGGTGCAGGGTCTCGGGGAAGCCCCTCCCTGCCTCTGAGCTTGCTGCTGCTTCCCCCTTAGGTATGCAGTGCTTTGTGGTCAGCTGGCTGAGCATGAGGGCATCCAGAAGCGCATCCAGAGTGGCTTTAGCTTCAAGGTGAGGAGAGGCTTCTCTTCTTTCCCTTGTGCTGTCCGTGTTCCCTGCTCATCCTGGCTCCTTGCAGTGTTCCTGCTGCCTCTGTGACTTGCCCCTCTTCCCTTATCAATGCTGGTGTCTGATGTTTATATTTACATTTCCCCCTCAGGAGCACGTGGACAAAGCTCTTGCTCTCCAGCCAGAAAACCCCATGGCTCACTTTCTCCTCGGCAGGTGGTGCTACCAGGTGAGCTAAATCCAGGCCTTTATATAAGGACCTCCCTGCCCTGTGACACTGATCTCCTTACAGTGAAAAATTGGAAGCTGGGCCTCAGCCTGGCTCAAGTGCCATGTCCTCTGAATGGTCATGTGACTATAACTGGACCCTGTTTGTTTTCAGTACAGAATATGCAATATTCTGAAAATTCTTGTTAAAACTTTATTCACACCTTGATCTCTTGGTGGCAGGTTGCTCACCTGAGCTGGCTAGAAAAAAAAACGGCTGCAGCCTTATTTGAAAGCCCTCCCAGTGCTACTGTGGAAGATGCCCTGCAGAGCTTCCTGAAGGTATCAGGGGAGGAAGGAAGGGAGGGGTGGACAGCAACCAGAACTGCCTGGGTGACCTTGTTTTTCCTAAGGACATTATATTGGGTTTCTGGTAGGGGCCAATTCTGTTTGCCTGTTCTATGGGAAAATCAGAACCACCTGGAGAGCTTATAAAAAATATACATTCCCAGACCCACTAAACCAGACTCCAGGGAGGGGCTGAAATCTCTAATATACTTCAGAGCTTGACCTGACTTTGGGAACACTTACTGAAATGCCTTCCTTCCTCCTCCAGGCTGAAGAACTACAGCCAGGATTTTCCAAAGCAGGACGGGTATATATTTCCAAGGTAAACTCACCTATCTTATTTTAACACAGATGAAAAGTATGTATGTTGATAATATTCTGGAAACTCCTGAAAGCACACCTACTTATCCCCTTCCAGTCTCCTGATGGTATTTCTCTCAGGTTTTCACTGTTGTCTCTTCTCAGTGCTACAGAGAACTAGGAAAAAACTCTGAAGCTAGACAGTGGGTGAAGCTGGCCATGGAGCTGCCAGATGTCACTAGTGAGGTAATGCTTTTAAGAGCTTTTCTAACCCTGGGTTTCATCATTGAGTCATCCCTGGGCCTTTTCAAGAAAAAATCTTCCCTTGAAATCTTATTTTCCTAGAAAAGAGCCTCCACTTCTGCATGTAGGTGCTATGATAACAGAGCTCAGAAAAGAAGTCAAGGGCCCTTCTTCTTGGGTACCAGTGGTTTGGAAAATGTTGGCTTAGATTTTGGGTCCTAGTATTGTTCTCTTGTCTCCCTAGGATTCAGCTTTCCAGAAGGACCTGGAAGAATTGGAAGTCATCTTAGGACACTAACCACATTTCAGTGGCCTTCATGACTTGAGAAATACCACTACTTAAGGGGGATGAGAATCAAGTCTTTTTTTCCCCCCTTAGACCTTGCTTAGATCAGGAAACTGAGCAAGCCTGGTTAAGGGAGTATCCTGAATCCTGGTCTAACCAGTACCTGCTACCTACCATTCTACTGGTTAATTCCTTAATTAATCTGAAATTGGGGATGCACCTGAGGCCTGGGTTTCTGTTGTATTCTCCCTTAAGTTAATTCTTGAAAAAATCAAGACCTATCCTAGGGCTGAGTGTGGGCAGAGAACTGAAGGCAGCCTTCTAACTGCTGGTAAGATGAAGGAACTTCAAAGAGTCATAGAAACCAAACAGAGAACTTGTACTCTCTAATCTGTCCACTGATTATTCAATCCCAAATTATAAATCACATCCCACAGGGAAGGGTCAGGGCTGTCCATGGGATTGCCCTCTTCTCACCCATCATGTGGATTCTAACTGCATTCTTGGGCTGAGGGGCTGGACACTTGACTTCTAGTCTTTGCTGCTTTTGGAACAGCAGTGCATAGGCTTATGAGACTATGCAACGATGATCTGAGGAGTTGCCTGGAGTATATTTTGGTACCAACTTAAAAATAAACTAAATTTGATTAGAAGTGATTATGTTCCCCCATGTTTGCTATTAGCTCTGTTGCAGACAAGTAGAAAAATAGCACCGAAGAGTTTCGAATATGTTCTGGTTAGTGCCGTTTCCGTGAGAATCCTAGTTACTTCTGAAACGCAGAGAGAGCGCTGATTCTTAGCTTAACAAGGCCCATTCCTACTGAGCAGGTGTTCCCTGACACATTCATGTTTACTCAGAGCCAGTAGCACAAAGCCTAATGCCACCTACAAGAAAAACGGAGACAGATTTCTAGGTCAGAGGCATTAACTTACTTTACAGCTCCTAAAAGCCTGAGATGCTTTTATACAAGGATCAAGCTCTCATTCCACAATCTGTCATGGTGGCTTTATTATACCACCCCAGGTTTGTTTGTTTTTGGTAAAAGAAGACCTCCATTCTTAAAAGCCAGGGAACAGAACTGCTTTTAAAACAAAGCTGCATTAGATTGTATCTCCCTACATATAGCAGGATCGACACAGGCACCAGCAGAGATTTTCACTGCCTTTCCTCCCAATACCAGCTGTGAGGTCCTTTGAAAAGAAAAGGTCTGGTTAAACCCAGTCCTGAGTGGAAGTTTGAAGGGGAAGAAGAGTATCTTGAATCCCTGAAGTAGAATAACTAGGGAACCATCAGACCTCCACAACACGAGACTAACAGAACAAAAACAAAGGCCATAGGACAGCCATGGCATATCCATCTTGTAATAGTCTATTACGGTGAAGACAATAAGCTCAATTATCTGAATATAGAACTTCCCTTTTAAATTTTAAAGCAATAGCAACTGATCACCCCTACCCAGTGCAAAAAAGACGTAAAGGCCCTATCTTGAAATACTTAGTTTGTATCAGAATAACTCCTAAAAACAGCAGTCACTACAAATAACTACCTTACTAGCAACCCCACACTGAATCTACTTACGTAAGCCTCTGAAATGCTTAAGATTCCAGAATTATCTTGAGTTGCTCTTAGCAGTAAAAAAAACACAAGCCCAAAAACCCAAGCAAGTAGATGGTGAAGGGTTAGTGACCCAACAGATGTGCTCAGTACTCCTTAAATAAAAACAAATTCTTACTTAAGATAATTCGGGCACACAAACTTAAAAACCTGTCTGATTGGCAGATTTATTGACAGATTTACAACAGAGAAAAAGAAACTGTGAGGAGACCCATCCCCTTTGCCCTGTTGCTCAGACATTTTTTCATATTCAGACAGTGAGAGAAGAGTTAGGTCTTCCCAGCTTTAGTTCTCTTAGAGACACCAGATTGTCCAGCTGTTAGTCCCACGTCAACCTCAAGGCACTATGTCAGAGGTATTCCCCACCCCCCACCCCCCAACCAAAGAATTCACATAGAGATTAGCACACTCTCTAGAGAAGGAACAAACATTTCAGATCAGTTTGTGACTACTGACTGTCTCCTGTTTACTCCATCAGAAAAGCTGATACAATAGCTGTGTTCCCGGATGCCCTTTTTCTGGCAGTCACAACAGGAAGAGGCCTGCGAAGAACCCCAGGGAGCAGTCTTCTCCGTGAGGCTGCAGCACTCAGGTTTATCACGGGAAAAACCCAATGATTCAGTCTTTGGCGTCTCCCACTCCATCCGCATTGATGGCAAACATAGCTTCAGCTTCAGGCAGACAGGGAGAGTCATAGATTTTGCAGATTCTGGTTTCCCCTCTTCCTTTTCTCAGGTACAGTCTGACCCAAAGACACAGATCAAAACACCCAAGTTATGATAATTTAAAAAATGCTCTTCCTATTTATGATAGAACTAAAACTATTTTTGATGTATATACTTCTTAGAAGGACTTTCAGAATTTTTCTGTATTCCTTGGGGCCCTGTCACCCTACCCCCCACCCTTAGTGGATTTTCCATATTAAAAACAATTATTTTCTTTTAATAATGAAGAGACATATGAATTCTTCATATTCAGTTCTCCACATTAGAGGGCTTTTAATTCTTTTATGAACTAAAAGCAAATGACTCTACTAACCAAAGCATGACAATGAGATTTAGCAAGAACTTTTGTCTAATTACACAATAGTAGCTTTAACAGGGAAATGTTATATCTGCATGTCCACTTCATAGTTAACATGACATTCCAGGATGAAATCATCTGTCCCATCACTTTACCTGGTTGTTGAGGCATGAGCAATGATATTTCCTCCAATAGGTTTTTTAGGATCTGCAGCAAACATGGCTGCTCCATCCACTTGGGCTACCACCTGGTTGGTGATTACCACAGCTACACCAAACTGATGGAGAAAGGATAAATGTCATTTGTGTGTGTGTGTGGCCACAGACATTGCAAGGACTAACTTTATTGCTGGCAACCCTTTTCCCCACAAACCAATGAAAAACTCAAGTCTCTCTTCATATCTAACTGGTATCTTGATACCAGGCCCCAATGTCCTGGCCTTCCAGGAAAGCTCCTGAAATCCGTGGCCCCTGAAAGTAGACTGTCCCCACCTGACAACTCACCTCATCAGCAAGTCGCAGAAGCATCCGCAGAAACCTGGCCAAGTGCATCTGCCTGGCTGACAGTTCACCTCGACCAGAATAGTCTGTTCTGTAGAGGGCGGTGGCACTGTCCACAATCAGCAGTGCATACCTACGGGACAAGGGCTCTCGGAAGCCGATTTCTAGCTTTGGTCAGATTCTGCTCCTTCCTCTCACTATGCTAAAATTTCACATTCAGTTACACGTGTATATAGATGTTTCATTGACACACTTGTATAGCATCCATGCCTGAGGTCCCATATAACAAGATAAAATTCCAACAAGTTCAGGTGGATTATGGTTTCTTTTCATTTTATGTTTTTATTTTAGAGAGAGGAAGGGAGAGAGAGAGAAAGAGAAACATCGATTTGTTGTTCCACTGATTTATACATTCATTGGTTGCTTCTTGTTTGTGCCCTGACTGGAGATCGAACCTGCAACCTTGGTGTATTGGGATGATGCTCTAACCAACTGAGCCACCCAGCCAGGGCTATGGCTTCATTTTTTAACAGTGACTTGACTTAACCACAAAGTAAGAGTGTCAAAATAGGAACTAAAACTTAAATCTTCCCATTTCTAATTCAAGCTACTATCAATTTGGCCAAATAGCCTATATAAGATTCAGGATAAGGGCCCTGGGAGCATATTCAGTATCTTCTGAGCACATACCTGGACTCTACCATCATAGCTGATGCTTGATAAAGCAGCTGGGTCTGGTGGTCTGTGTTGAACCCACGAGCATATGCTACATTATCTAGGACATCACTGCCAGAGAGGCCATATCTGGAAAAGAAGAGAGAACATTTTTAGGCTGCACATAGAGAACTCAGGCAGATGAGAAATTCATTTCTAATAAAGAAATTACATGGATGGGTAGGTAAGAAGTATTGGGACTAAATAATATTAATTCCCTTTCTATTAGGAAGTTCAGACAAACTGCACAGAGAGATTACAACAATTGTTACTTTGGAGTAATCTACCTGGCAGGACTTTAGGATAAATCAAATCTATTCTCTGAGGACTCCTGAACTAGAATTAGAAATTTCCAAGTATAAGGAAACAATGTTCTCCTGGAAAAACCAAGGGCAGAGAATTAGAAATTTCCAAGTATAAGGAAACAATGTTCTGGAAAAACCAAGGGCAACCTGACAGAATTGAGACTGAAACAAACAAAAAGAACCACTCTAAGATCTATTAACCAAATTCATATAAATTTATTACATAGGAATAAAACCTAAGCAAGGACTCAAAAGTCTAAGTAAAGTTCGAGAGAAGCAAATATTTTTTTTCATTCTTGCTAGTAATTAGTTATTCCTCAATAATGATTTTTCCCTCTGCATTTAAAAAAGGCAAATAAAATATCTCTTATTTTCTTAGAACAATTTGTATTTTCTCATCTTTATAAATGATACCTAAGACATGAATGGTTCGAGTAACAACACAGCTTTCATTCTCATTAAATGTACCATAATGGAGCTCCATTTCTTTAAAGATAAACTTCCCCTTTATCTCTCAAATAGATGTGATTTTCCCTCTTCTGTACTCCCAAAAAACTGATTTAGATCTTTTTATGGTATTTGTGCAGGGCAACCCTTTTTCCCACAAACCCTGCCATTCTTTGACTAGACTACAAATTCCTTGAGGTTAAAGATAAGCTTGTCTACCTTAAATATTTTTTTTACCTAGTAAATTCTAAATGTTGCTAAGTAAAGCTTTTATTCACAATCCATACAAAAAGAAAATTATACACATCAATTTAACTCATATTTTCATATTAATGCCATAAAAATCATTACAGTCCGAAAATATAACACTGACTCCCTTAATGTAATAGTTCAAAAGAGAATCTGTTTAAACAAATCAATGTGCTATTAATTCTTTGATAACCAAAAGTTTCTATGTTTATGATCCTATCAGTCTTTTTTTAAAAAAATATATTTTATTGATTTTTTACAGAGAGGAAGGGAGAGGGATAGAGAGTTAGAAACATCGATCAGCTGCCTCCTGTACACCCCCTACTGGGGATGTGCCCACAACCAAGGTACATGCCCTTGACCGGAATCGAACCTGGGACCTTTCAGTCCACAGGCCGACACTCTATCCACTGAGCCAAACTGGCTACGGCGATCCTATCAGTCTTTAAAGAATCAGTCTAGCCCTAGCTAGCCTGGCTCAGTGAATAAAGCATCAGCCCATGGACTGAAGGGTCATGGGTTCAATTCCGGTCAAGGGCTCTTACCTCAGTTGCAGGCTCAATCCCTGGCCCTGTTTGGGGCCATGTGGGAGGCAACCAATTGATGTGTCTTTCTCACATCGATGTTTCTCTCTGTGTGTCTCTCCCCCTCCCTTCTGCTCTCTCTAAAAATCAGATATCCTCAGGTGAGGGTTAACAAATAAATAAATAATAAAAATGGGCAAAGACTTGTAAATACATTTTCCAAAGCAGACATACAAATGTCTATGCCTCTGCTGCTAGTCTGCCTACCTATGTCCA